GAGTTTCTAAAAGGCTTAATCAACAGTTTGAATTCGTATTATAAAAAGTATTTTAACAAAAGAAGTGTTTTTGTTTTAACTCAACTTTCTGTTTATGCAATCAGATAAAATGCATCTATTATAATTGCGAATAATGAAGAACAACAATTTTGCTTTTTTGTTTGATACATAAAAAGTATTTATTCGTTGCATTCTTTCTTTTATCTCAAATTCTTAGTCCTCTTTTTTTACATAGAATATTAGATTCAAATAAAATAATTTATATATGTTATTTTTATTATTGTATTTATTTTTGCACATCAAATCTTCGTACATTTTTATTACATCGAATAAAGTAACTAATATGATTACAGTAATATTAATTTTTAACGTCTTTATTATTATAATTCGAACTCAAACTATCAATTGGCAGACTCACGTGTAGATACACGGGGTGCCTCGCTGCTGCTATCCATGACGTGGCGCGAGATATTACCGTGTCTTTTGATGTTTTATTCTAACAGGGTGTCTACTCGAATCTTGTGAAAAAACTCCCTGCTCTTACAGCAGGGTGTCTATTCAAATCTTTAAAAAATTCCCTAAAAATTTCCTCATCTTCCAAGTATCTTTGTTCAAAATTCCAGGTAACGAGAATATTTTAAAGATTTTTTAGTGCAATTTCCTAAAATAAGTTTTTTTTTAATGTATTTATTTTTTAATGCGCGTTTTCTAATGCTTTACATTCCTCCGAAGAAAAAACACAAAGCCACTTAAGTTTCATATGCTGGATTTGCAAATGTACTGGAAAAAAAACTGAATAGTTTTCGTTAAGATAAAACTTTTAAATTTGCATAATTTTTTCATTTTTTATCACTAAAAATTAAAATAAAGAATATGTATTGCATATTTAATATTCTGTTAAGACATTGAATATATAAACAGAGATCTATATATATATATTTTAAATACATAAAATTCACAATCTGGCTTATTCGCGGATTGCCGATTGCTTTACAATTTAAGAGCAAAATTATCAACGAAGGAATTTGTTTTAAAAATTCCCCGAATTCCAATAAAATTCCATGAGAATTTCTTGATTTTTCCAGGTACAAAAGAAATCCCTGGGAACTACATGTTTTTTTTTTCAGGAAATAAATTAAGACAACCTGTCTAAACAACACATTTCTAGGTAATAAATAATACTGAAACATTAACGTAGAATTACAAAATAAAACCAAGCATAAAGCCATCGCGTTGCATAAAATGCAACTCTATAAAAGGGTGTATTGACGAAAAAAATTAGAACCTGAACGCTCCAAAGTTTCCTTTTTTTACCCGAGATCCGGAAATCATCTCATCCCTCGCCTGGCTCGAAATCCGAGGAGAGGTAGCGACCCTATTTTAAGTCTTTTTTGCCTGATCTATACAATTGACAAAGGCATTTCAAAATCTTTGCCTTTTTGAAGGATTATACATCACGGTTATATGTTCGAATACGAAAACGTTCGATCTATGAAACACCGTCGCGAAAAGTTTCGAAACGTTACCTGCCTCCTTTGCATACCGGGAGAAATGAAAAGAATATCGTCCCTACGAAGGTCCAGCGCGATTTTCTCCATCGCCTGGATTAAAACCCCAGGAGATGCGGCGTCTCCTGGGGTTTTAATCCAGGCGATGGAGAAATGGAGCTAGTTCGAGCCCATTTTGCTCGATCTATACAATTCCCAACTCTCATTCGAGGCACGAAAATGTTCGATGCACAAAACACACGGTCGACACGAAAAGTTTCGAAACGCTCCTTTGCATACCGAGAGAAACGAAAGGAACGTCGACCGCGCGGTTCCTCCGATGTTCCAAACACACCTCGACATTTTACGAGCGGGACGTCATATCTTGTTCTCGGCGAAGGTCGCCGTGCATCTTGTCTCTCGGTGAAGATTTTAAAGCGCGTCTCTCGGTTTTACGCGCATTGGGATGCGACATGCGTGATTCGAGAGGTTTCAAGCTTATACGAATAACCTTATCCACCCTCGGAATGCAGTTAAGCTTACATGCTTAAGTTTACATGCTGTTTTAAGTAGAAGCGAGAGATTTAAGGGATTCAAAAGCGATTACACAATTTTGCGCGACTATATTTTTGATAATTATAAAAAAGATCACAAAAAAATTAAAATGAAATTTTACTTCTTTTTCTTAAAAATTAGACTCTTACAAGAATATAGCATTATAATATATAGCTAGAAAATTGACACCAAATGTGACCACTGATTTACAATTTGTAAAACATTATTAGTTTTTTTCTTTTTCATTATTGATGATTTAACTTTAACAAAACGTTCGAGTTCTGCTTCAAAAATGGGCTGGAAAGCCTCGGGTCCAGGTATCTTTAGAAAAATCTTGACCTGAAGTATTTTACGCTATTGTAAAAAAGGAATTGTATGATTAGCGTGGAAAATACCATTTCCCGTTCACCCTGGGAGATCCCTGTTTTATGGTTTTACAACTCGAATTCTCTGATTTTGTAACAGAAATCCAAGAAAAAAAAAGGAAAAATCTTCGAACCTCCAGCTCAGACCATATTAGGTAGATCGATGCATGTCTATGGTAATCATTACTTCTCTTTATTCTTTAAGAAAAATAATACGATATACCTAGTAATATATTAAATAAAAGAATAGCCTTTTTATATCAAAAAAGTAATTTTAATGATGATTTTTCATGTTGTAATAATTATATTATTGCATCCATATTATTTATTTTTTATAGTAATGTAATCCTTGGTGCTATATTTTCTGTGAGGAAATAATAAATTTATATCTTTTGAAAAAAATACATTTGGATATTTCATAATATGCTATCTCCATTTTTAATTTATTTTTTCAAAAGGCTTTTTAGGCAAAAATTAACATTCTGTTTTCTATTCCTGATACTTACTTTTTTAATCAAACATTCATGAGTTTATATTTCTATAATATTTAATAAACTATTAAATGTGTATTAATTACTTACCAAAAGATGGGAATATTAACGTGTTAAAAATATTATTTTTTAGTCGCTTTCTGTTATATTTTCTCCGTTTAAACAATATTCAATATTCAGGAATTAAACAAAGAGAAAAAAAGAAGTGAAAAGTATTGCAAACAGCATAGTTAAAAAAAAGGTTCTATTATTTTGGACTCGCCATTTTCGATTTATATGGGAATTTACATTTTTTATAGAAATTTATGACAATATGAAAAATGTCCCAGTAAAGCCTTGGCCTATACATATACGCTATTTACAGATACAGGCCTCCGTATAAAAATTTATCCAAATAGGGTCCATTAAAATAAAATAAAAAATAAAAAATAAAAAAAAAAAAAAAGGAACCACATGCACCATTAGCAAACTTAGGAACACGTGAGCGAGTAATGATTAATGGATTCACATTGCATAATACAAAATTTTTCAAATGTACGGAACACAAAGAAACAAATGAATGGAACCCGAGAGGACCTAAGATCTTCCTTCCATTTTTTTCAAAAATTTTCTTTTGCCTAAAGATTCGCGACCAAAAATTGACCTGGCAACCCAACAATATGCAGTTTTCTACCGCAGGCACTCAGCGAGGTTCTTTAAGAGTGGCAAACATGCCGCTTGAAAAGTACCTCGGTTTTCGATTTACAAACGAGCGAGAAGGAGAGAGAAGAAGAAAGAATATCCGCACCAGGTCAAAGACACGCACACGAACTCACCCGTAAGCGAACACATATGCGAAATGGGAGATTCAGACTGCGTTCCCAAGGGATTCGAGAAATGGGAAGAACTTGTGACTTCTATAATAGCGCGATTTTAACTAATTATACAGGGTGTTTCAAAAGTAGAGGTCAATCGCTCAGGAAGTGATTGGGGGCCGAAAAACAAGAAAAAAAGTTGGAACATAGGTCCGAAAAAGCATCGTTTTCGAGTTATCGCCATTTTTATGTTGAAGTTTCAAATTGCTTTGCTTTCGAATCTTTTTGTCAAAATTGAAAGAAAAGATGGTTTTGTATTTATTTATTTTATTTTATTTCTTTTTGTATTTATTTATTTATTTTCTATTTTATTAATATTTTTTTTATATCGTAGTCTTTCTTTTTATCCTGGGTAATGCTAAAGCAGTCTGCAATTTTTATTTGACTTTAATTATGTTATAAAACTCATAAAAACCATTTTTTTCTTTCAATTTTGACAAAAAAATTCGAAAGCAAAGATTTTTGAAATATCGACATAAAAATAGCGATAACTCGAAAACACATATTTCCGGACCTATGTTCATATCAACCTTTTATCTTGTTTTGGGTTCCCTAATCATCTCCTGAGCGATTAACCTCCACTTTTGAAACACCCTGTATATTTCTTCCGAAAAAAAGGGGGAAAAAAAATATTTTGCTCTTTGATGTCGAATGCTATATTAAAGATGCAGTTTAAATTTCGCACAATATAAACGCACACATTTATACGCGCGCGTTTGCATTCAGAATCTACCAATAGGAACTCAGTTCAGACCAATAAAACTCGAAGAAGAAGAAGAAGAAGGATTCCCCAACATTTTTATAGCATCGAAAGGAAGCGATAATCCTAAACGTATGACGTATACATAAATACAGCGGAATCATTCTCACGACGCACGCACGCACGCACGCACGCACGCACGCACGCACGCACGCATGCACATACATATATACATACACACACATGAACGCGACGAAACTAAACAATCCACGCGAGCGCATTAAATAGGATAGACCGAAAAAGATTTAATGCGTACATACGTCCTCTTCTGAATGAAAAAACAGCGAGAATTAGGCTCGATTGCTCCGAAAAATGCGCGATGATCGAACGATGGTTTCGCGTTGCCGTGAAGAGGAGAGGAAGAAGGGCATAAAAAGAGGAGAAGCACGGATATCATTGTACATTTCCGGCCCGTACAATTCAGTTTTCTCACAAACGCAAACGTGAGGGAAAAATGTTAAAAACGATGCAGGGAGTTTATTACTTACATTCGATGCAGTTCCGATCCGGGATCTCTCATCGCCACCGGAGCGCCAATGCACGAATGCACAAAACTGTGGGCGATTCGCGCACGCGAACCCGTCTCGGGTATCGGGAATATCCTAGGCAACTGCGAACGCGAGCGCGCACGAGAGGGAAAAACAGAGACGGAGGGAAGGTCGGCTATATAAAGAAAAAGAGAGAGAGAGAGAGAGAGAAAGAATGCGAACCGCACGCAACGGGCCGAGCCTGGAGCGGCGACCAATGATTAGCGCGTTCGCACTTCGCACAGTATCCCGCACACGCACACCACTCAACGGCGATCCGGATCGAGTATGCGACACGACGTTTTCCACCACAGTTTATCCCACTAACACACGCGCGCACGACTTCAGGCAGCGACGAACTTCGGCCTGAAAAATCCCCGACGCCACATCATATCCCGAGCGACGGAGAAAATGGTTCTGTTTACGTTCTCGGCTGAATCGCGGTACGGAAACCCTACGACAACAGTATACGTGACACGGGCATTCTGAGGAAAACACGTATGTGTGCGCGATCAATCGCCAGTGTTGTAAACCTGACGGGAACGGACGACCACACGGCGATGCACAAAAAGGAAGATGGCGCCGACGTGAGGGGGATGGAGGGGGGACGGGCGGGCGGGGAGGCCAGCGCGTCGAGATTACATATCGCGCGACGCTCGCGTCAGATTCGCGTGGAGTCGAGTCTATCGGACTCCTCCATTCTACGACGCCGGATTTCTACGTCCCGTCCAAACTCGGCTACACTCTTTTCAGCTTCCTTTCGCTTTCAACGCGTACGCGCACGATCGTCGCGATCGCGGGTCCTGGAGATCCGTGCAATTGCAAGCGCGCCGATCAAGCGACTGACGTCACGTTGGTTGATACGTTCAGATACGTCAAGCGCTGCATTCTTGGAAACGAACCGCGTGAATTTTCTTTCGCCACCGCCAGGTGGCGCTCGGGTGGCGCCCTTTTCGAAAGCGATCTTTCCTTCTTGACAAAAGCTTCACAGTTTCAGACGTAAGAATTTATAATACATTTACTAATATATTTATTCATCTATCTATATTTCTCTTTAAATTATTTTTTGCCTTAAACTCTCTTTAATTAATAAAAATTAAAGAAATTAATTTAACTTGAGTTTGATCGAAGCGACCATTAATCTCAGCGCACGCGACAAAATTACGTGACTAATATTACTAATGTCTAAAGAAAATAATTTGCGATAAATCATTTACGAGGAATCGACAATGATCGATGACGAATGCGCGTTTGTTTCGCGAAAAATGAGTGTCAATAATTGACACAGTACTGTCAACGTGTTAATAAAATGCTGCTATTGATCTCCGTCGTGATTAACGGGAAAAATCGGACATGGGGAATTTTCAAAGAATCATGATCTTAAATAAATGTATCGATAACCTTATTTGCCTTACGTTTCCGCAGAAAGTACGTCGTCTTGGAATGCGGAAATGTTTAATAAAATTCTAGGCTAACTAGATTGACATCATTATAATAAATCCTTCTTTGGAAAATTAAAAGACTGTTGTCTCTGCTCTGTGATAGCGCAATATTTCAAGAAAAAGTATCGATATGTCTCGCATAAGACCGCATATATATATCATTTTCTTTTATATCAAAATATTTTTTATAGATTTAAAAAATTTTTTTATAAATTATTTTTTACGGAAAGAGCACTGATTTTATGTTAAATTAATCTTGAATCAACAGATATAAATTATGAGATTTTTGATATTAAATATATTTTTGATATTTAAATACATATATTTAATGTAAAGTTATCTGGACTTTTCAACTTCCCGTCTCGATAAAACGAGCGTTAAAATATGAAATACTTGATTTTAGTCAAAGATTTATTAATGATAACATTTAATAGAAAATTACCTATATAATAAACAATATTGCAAAAGAGAATATTTCATGATTTTGCTAATTGTATTTGTAATTTAATTTATAAAGAATGCTATATATCCTACCGCACATTATGAATTTAGTGTTAGATATTTAAGGATTCTTTTGAATTAATCCTGACAATGAGATATATAGAATCACGTATATAAAAATACAAATATGTTTTCTTGATCATTTTTTTTTTTTTTTTTTTTTTTTTTTTTTTTTTTTTTTTTTTATATAAAGAAAAAGAGAGAGAGAGAGAGAGAGAAAGAATGCGAACCGCACGCAACGGGCCGAGCCTGGAGCGGCGACCAATGATTAGCGCGTTCGCACTTCGCACAGTATCCCGCACACGCACACCACTCAACGGCGATCCGGATCGAGTATGCGACACGACGTTTTCCACCACAGTTTATCCCACTAACACACGCGCGCACGACTTCAGGCAGCGACGAACTTCGGCCTGAAAAATCCCCGACGCCACATCATATCCCGAGCGACGGAGAAAATGGTTCTGTTTACGTTCTCGGCTGAATCGCGGTACGGAAACCCTACGACAACAGTATACGTGACACGGGCATTCTGAGGAAAACACGTATGTGTGCGCGATCAATCGCCAGTGTTGTAAACCTGACGGGAACGGACGACCACACGGCGATGCACAAAAAGGAAGATGGCGCCGACGTGAGGGGGATGGAGGGGGGACGGGCGGGTAGCATTTATTTTATCTCAGTATATTTCAACAACAATATATATAATTGGTAGTATATTATACTCACTTAGTAACAATATCAGTTTTTACTTCGGATTACTCAACGACGATTATTAAAGATGTAACGGACATATACAGAGAAAATTCGGTTTACATCTGTGAATTATATAATAAATATATGAAGCTCGTAGAAAAAAACCTGTTCGATCCATTTAACTTGTATCAATCGAACAATATATATATAAAATAATTTTTATGTGTGCGATTTAAATTTAATGAATAGTGCTATCTTTACTACTCGAGACAATAGATAAACAATGTTCGGAGAAACACTGCAGTGCTTTTTTTCAATTAATCCTAAATCATTTACCATAATTGTATACATATATTTACAGCTGTCCCTTGTGTCGTGTCTCTATATAATATAACATATCGTATTCTGAGATTCTTTATATGTATCAATGCTACTTGCATTAATAAATAGATAGTACTTGCAATTTTATACTCTTGACACTTTACACACTGTGTCATTTTCAATACATCTCTATATACTAGTATAAATCATTTATGATTTATATTCACATTTTTGAATAAATTAATAAATTTTTCTCCTTTAAAAAAAAAAAAAAACTACAGCAGTCTACGCTTAAAGGCGTTTCCGAGTAAATGCATTCTGAAAGGATTGCTCTCTCCATAAAGTAAATTTTATATCTCTTATGAGATATTAACTTATTTCATACAATTCGCGAGAGATGTAAAAACACGTCTAAAAGCGCTTAAGAGTATCTATTTTTGGATGAACAGCAGTTCAATGAAATGGAAAATCGAACTTTCTGACGTTTTTTGGAGGGCACACCCCTCTCGGGTAATTTCGATAAATGCTTGCCCTCATCGTTCGGTCGAATACTTATTTGGTCGATTGTGAGATTACTCTATAATGAATTTCAATGTACGTTTATAATCACTTTTGAAGGCTGTGATATTTGCTTAGTAATTTTCATTAAATACGGAACACACGTGTAACAAGGCACAATACTTTCAAAGCTATCACACATGTTAGGATAAATTACATTTACTCTGCAATTAGATTAATAAAAAAAAAAACTAGGTTAGCACCAGCCTAATTTTGTTAGGATGAGCAAGTTCAATTAATCCTAAATCATTCACCATAATTGTATACATATATTTATGAGAAATAGCCTAACTCATAGTATATCGCGTTAGAAAATGCGAAAAGTACAATGTATCTGCAGTTTTGGCAAGAGTAAAGCTAAAACGAGTAGTAAAGAAGACTCGGATTTTTCCGCAAATATATAAATTTCGAACCGGGAAAACAATGATTGACGCGTTATTGCTTCTTATAATAGCCTTATAAATTATCAACATTATCCTTTAGAAAAACAAGTATATACACATATTATGCTAAACTTATCATATCCTACATGCTATACAAATATTTTATATATATAATTATAAAAAATAAACGCGATGATTATAAATCTATATATAAAATGGATACTGTATGATCCGATTAAATGCGTTTGCTGATGCTTATCACCTATACATTGTTGAATTGTTCGTTTAAATATTATATATATTGTATATATACACACGTATATATTATATATATATATAATGATAAACAAATTCTCGCCCATCTATAAATATACATATATATGTATATGTGTATATAATATATACATACATATACATACATATATAATACGTCGCGTTCTTTTTTTCTTATACACCCCAATCCTGAGATCTAGAAATATAATCTAGTGTTTACCTTTCCTTTTTTTGTCTCATTAGTACATCGTGCTAGACAATCTCTCTACAATCTCTCATTACTTTACAAGTAAAAAAATATATACGTTGTTCTCTTTTATAACATGTAACTCTTTCATAAATATCGAAAAAAGACAGGAAGAATGAAGAAGAAACTTTTATTAAATTCCTTCTCCATTATAATTTTGCTCCGTTCGTCCTAAGTAAAAGATTAAGTCGCTCGAAAAAGACAAGATTGATTAAGTAATTATAATAATAATAAATTTGTTAATATTGATCTCCCATCACACACTGTACCTCAAAACAAAATGGCTGATAAGTGCATTTGCTTCTTTGGTTGTATGAGTCCTTAATTTTAATTACTGACATACATATACATTTCATATAAGTGGTAATAAATATTTAGGAAAAAGGGAAAATAAAATAATGATAGAATTCTAAAATCTTGATAATAATTCAAAACAATAGAATCAGATAAGAATAATTAAATGATTGTTAATACTTTTTTCTATACTTTTTGCCAAAAAGCGTAACATTTTATCGTCAAGGCCACAATTATGTCACTATATAAAAAAAATTCACAAAATGGTATTTATGATAGGAGTCTAAATTTTAAAAGTCTATACTTTGAAACATTATTGAGAAGAGCAGATAATAAATTTATATATATAATATATATATATATAATTGCCAGTCTACAATATCACCTCGACAGCATATGGATATACAGCTGTCCCTTGTGTCGTGTCTCTATATAATATAACATATCGTATTCTGAGATTCTTTATATGTATCAATGCTACTTGCATTAATAAATAGATAGTACTTGCAATTTTATACTCTTGACACTTTACACACTGTGTCATTTTCAATACATCTCTATATACTAGTATAAATCATTTATGATTTATATTCACATTTTTGAATAAATTAATAAATTTTTCTCCTTTAAAAAAAAAAAAAAACTACAGCAGTCTACGCTTAAAGGCGTTTCCGAGTAAATGCATTCTGAAAGGATTGCTCTCTCCATAAAGTAAATTTTATATCTCTTATGAGATATTAACTTATTTCATACAATTCGCGAGAGATGTAAAAACACGTCTAAAAGCGCTTAAGAGTATCTATTTTTGGATGAACAGCAGTTCAATGAAATGGAAAATCGAACTTTCTGACGTTTTTTGGAGGGCACACCCCTCTCGGGTAATTTCGATAAATGCTTGCCCTCATCGTTCGGTCGAATACTTATTTGGTCGATTGTGAGATTACTCTATAATGAATTTCAATGTACGTTTATAATCACTTTTGAAGGCTGTGATATTTGCTTAGTAATTTTCATTAAATACGGAACACACGTGTAACAAGGCACAATACTTTCAAAGCTATCACACATGTTAGGATAAATTACATTTACTCTGCAATTAGATTAATAAAAAAAAAAACTAGGTTAGCACCAGCCTAATTTTGTTAGGATGAGCAAGTACGATTGTCCTTATATTAAAACTTTTGCAAGCTGCGTAATGATAGCTGCAAGAAAAAAAGTCATCTGTGTGTGTTCCTTATATCATTTCTCTCATTAGAGAATATTTAATACATCTATCTGCATGAGCACAATAATTAAAGAAACTTTTTATCGTTACCGCGCTTTGTTACTTATCTTTGAAAGTCAATCATCATCATTTGGTGTTATTAAATTTAGCTTAGTGCTAGTTTTAAACAAAATCAAGTAAACATTTTCATTCATGGGAATTAAAAATTTATGGTACATTAAATCCATGACTATATAAAACTGAAAACTCACTGAAAACAAGTAAAAATATCACACAATATATACTAATTATAAAAATGAGAGTAATATGTATAATTTTCACAAATCATATCGTATTTTGTTTCTATCGATTTAGAAATTGCATAAGATTTTTTAAGAGCTTTATGCAATATAACATATCCTTCTCATTAATATATCGATATCAAACATATTACTATTTTCATTATAATATCGAATTATTACAGCAACGTAATTGTCTATCCGAGATTCTTTTTTTCTTGTATTGTCGTCCATTTTTTTTTCCACTTAGCATAGTACCTAATGTTATATACCCTGAAGCTCTCTGTCTTCCAGATCATCAAAAAAATTCTATATAATACTAATGTTAGCATTAGTATCATCAAAAGAGGGGAAAAAATGTCGTTAAGTTAAAATTAATATGTTATTATCAAAAGGTTAATTGTCTATATGTTCATATCGTAGAGATGTGGAGGAGCACCTACCACTGAAGGCATTTGGCAGCCACGTCGTACTAACAGACGAACAGATGGTCCACCGTTACGTATAATCTCAATCGCTTCTGTATGCGTCATGTTTTTGGTATTAATACCGTTTATCTCGATTATCTGATCTCCAACCTAGGAGTAATATATATTAGCTATAGATTTGCTTATAATATTATATTTATAGTTTAAATGATAATGAGATATTGGAATATTACTTACTCTAAGCCGATTGTCAATAGACGCTGGTCCGTTCTCAGCGATCTGCAAGACGAATAACGGCATGTTTTGAAACTCGCGACCACCGCGTATGCTGAAGCCAAAACCTCGGGTACCCCGAGTGAGCTCTACAGCATGATACTGGCCCCCATCTCCATCTCCTGTAAGTTCATCCTGGAAAGAAAAATTCAATAATCTATGATCACTCTATTATTATGGTGAATAAAAAAAGAAATTATATTTTCATATTTGTTTACTTTGCTAAATTACAAAATCAAGAAAGCTTGTACCTTTTGGGAAAGAGATGTATTGCTACAGCAATCATCAAGCGGATATCCAATCGTCAATGTGACAGAATAACCAGAATCTTTGATTAAATTGACAATGTCCTTATGGCAAACGTTCGTGATATCGATGTGATTGACAGCGAGAATATGATCTCCGACGTTCAATCTCCCGCATCTTTCAGCAGGTGAGCCTTCAATTATCCTGCCGATCGTAGAGCCGGCTTTGTTAACGGAAGAGATTATCACGAAACCGAATCCTTCGTTCTCCATTCGAGTGACGGTAACATCATATGGATACTGAAGATTCATCTGCCGACCATAAGAGGACTGAAGGTTCTCTTGAAGGTGTTCCTGTGTATTGATTCGACGTCGTATTCCTAGAGTTACTCGTCCGTTTTGTGCCGCTGCTATCATTAACTGCACCACGTGATGATGAGAAGAATTCATGACGCTTTCCCCGTCGACAGACATGATCAGATCGCCAGTATTGAGTCTGCTATCAAGATCGGCCGCTCCACCGGGAACTATATGACCCACCGAAACCTGCTGGCCGTGATATTTTTAACGTTTCTGCTTTCATTAGTGCTGTGATGACTTGGTTTTGCAATGCATAAAAGTAAGATCTTTAAAAACACTTATAAGGATTAATATGGATCATTAAAAAACCAACCTGAGATCCTTCTTCCGTACCACCCACTATTCTGAATCCAAATCCAGTATCTTGTCTGACCAAAGTCACTAGAGTTTCTATCCATTCTATATCGGGAACCATTGGACAAACCAATTCGCTTGTGTATTGAGGATACCTGTAATTAATATCACGAATTAAATGATTTTAATAATAAATAATCTTTATTTATTTTATGTATCTAGTTTTTGCAATATATTTAATGATTTTTAAACATATATTTTATCTATCTAAATGATTATAATATTAATTTTGAGAGCTCTAGAAAACGATTGTGGTTTACATAAAAGTTTATGACTTTTAACGATTGACGAAACAATATACATACCGAGATATAGAACTGGAATGTGGCTGTTCGTGTTCGAAACTGGTCGTTTCTTTTCTCTTATCCCAGATTTCGCCGGTATCAACGTTTTGCTCCTGTCCAATGGAATACATACTATAATCCTCGTTATATTGGGAATGCGATTGAACGGGATAGACGTCCTTGTAGTAATCGGAATGCAAATATCCATTCTGCTTGAGCATATTGTCGTGGTGGGAGATGTCGATGGAATACACATCATTGTTGATATTCAATTTATCATTCGCAATCCAGTCGCGTTTCGACACATTCCTGACGGAATCGTCGTCGAGATTCATCACCGTGAAATTGTCTGACAAGTTGGCTGTAATATTAGCTTTATACGGATCCGAATAATACATTCCGTGTGAATAATCGGCATATTTATAGTGATTATCCAGCGGATTCAATTCATTTTCTCCTTGTTCGTCGTTCCAGTTCGATCTGCTCGCGCTAGTTGGTGATTTAGGATGATTCCTGGTGTCGATCAGTGGCGTTTTTGGTCTACTAGGTATTATCGTCTTTGATTGAGTGCTATAAATATCTGCGGTGGGCGTCTTACTTCTGAAAAAGTCCTGCATATTCTTCTCTTTCTTCTCTTTCGTCGACTTTGTTGTCGTTCGTTGAACGTGTATCAATGCCTCCTCGTTGCGGGGGCAATCCTTCAGTACTTGCACCACCTCCGAGTGGCACATGTTTCTGACGTTGATCTCATTTATGTTAACTAGTATATCGCCCTCCATTAAATTCTTGCAACGCTGACGATCCAGGATCTTCTTGACTTTCTGGCCATGGGCAGAGTCTGCTATCGTAAATCCAAATCCCATGGCCCCCTTCACGATGGCGATGCTGAGAAATTCCGGCTTGGAAGACACCGGCGAGTTCTTACAATCGTTCAAATCGCTGCTCTCCGATAGCAGAATGTCCGTGCTGCTCGGTCTCTTAATCGTGTTGATTTTGTCCGAAATGCAGAGATCGGGCATCGAATTGACCGACGTTGTGGCGAGATTCTCGCCGTTTTGAAGATTATGCACTGGCAAGAATGTGGAATCCAGAAAATTGAAACGTCCATTATCCTGAAGAGACGAGTTTAGATCCATGTACATCGCAGGATCTTCTGTCAAAAGAAAAGATTCGAGATAATAGCACCTAATTCTCCGATGAAAAAATCTATTAATTATTCTTAGCTCTTTCTTTACCTGGCGCATTGACGGCGATCGTTGTTACAACCTCCGTATTAGGATCGTTGGGGTCAAAAGGCAATGGATAACCTCGACACACTTCCAAACTTACTGTCTCACCGCTACCGATTGACTTGAATACATTCACCATTTCATTATGGGTAAATCCTAGCACGCAGGTGTCATTAACGTATACTAACACGTCTCCTGAAATAATAAGTACAAGTGTAATAAATTGTAAAGACAGAAGCACGGAAGCGGAAGTGAATCACGGGCTTGAGAATTTTAGCGGTATCTAGAAAAAAAAAATTACCGGTTTGTAGTTTCCCATCCAACCATGCTGGACCATTTGGCACGACGCTTTTAATTTGCAGGAATTCTTCCACGGTGTCATCACCGCCGACAATGGTAAATCCCAAGCCCCGTGAACTCTTTATCAAGGCAGTTCGTATCCTCTGACCTTTGAGTTTGTCGGGATTTCTGGTGAAGTTGGGACTCTTCCTCTCGAGCAAGTTCTGTTGCGCTCTCTTCGCTTGCAAGACCGGATTTTCGTATTGCGTTCTACGATTTACGTGATCGATAAAATATGTACCGTATAGGGTGTCGTCGATTTTTTCCCAACCGTAGGGTAATTCGTCGTCGAGACATTCTTCCAGAGATCTCTTTTGAAATTTCGACAGACGTGGATCTAGCCAATGAGATGTGCCCGTGTTGTGGCTGTGATATAATTTATGAAAATGTTTTTACATTTTATTCGAAACAAAAATAATTAAATAAATAATAAAAATAAAAGACTATCAATATTTTTAAAAAATTATATTGCGCACACATGAGTATGTTTTGTATTATATATATTAATGGGATATATGTGTGTAATATTTATATAATGCAATTCTTGTAAGTATTAATACAATTAATATATACAAAATAAGAAGAGTTTATCAAGATTATTCATAAAAATTACTTATTTTTTAATCTTCTTATTATCTATATAATGTTGAGTATACAATGGCAATGTATATATATATAAATATGTATACATACTCTATGAAATAAACTTCTCCTGTGTCCGTGTACGCCTTCTCCCAATTACTTGGTAACGGACCTAATTGATCCTCGTTGCCTGGAGTACGATTTCGAACGGTTTGTTCTTGGTCGGAGATTCCTGTACTTTGTTCCGATCCCGTATTATACAAATACGTCGGTGGAATTCTTCCTCCATCGTTTTCACCGATCATCAATATTTCTTTATCAAGACTCTCCCCTTTAACATGAAATATTTTCGAGTAAAAAATTTTGCGATTACGTTACTTCAATATTTCAAAAGTAATTACTGTACCATCATTAGGATTGTCGATAGACGCTGCGTCATCAGTTTTGGTAGCCATCTCGAAGTCTTTACGTTTATCTTACGATCCTGAATAAAAATTTACGATGCGTGAATAAACGTTGACATGATGGAGAAATACATTAATATCTCAAGCACAGAAAACTTATTTTAAGATTATTAAATTTACGGGAAGATTCGTGTATTCAAGTATCAAATGCATTATTTAAACTCGGATTTATCATCGAATTTATTGAAGTTATTGAAAAAGAAAAACATTTTCATCTAGTAAATCTACACTGTCATGTTCTCTACGCAGTAATCGCATTCATATACATATAGGGTGTTTCAAAAGTGGATTTCAAATGATTTTGTATTTATTTATTTTATTTTATTTATTTTTTTTTTGTATTTATTTATTCATTTTTTATTTTATTTGTGTTTTTTTTTATTATGGTTTTTTTTTTAAATCTTGGGTAGTGCTAAAGCAGCCCGCAACTTTTACTTGACTTTAATTATGTTATAAAACTCATAAAAACCATTTTTTCTTTCAATTTTGACAAAAAAATTCGAAAGCAAAGCAATATTTTGAAATTTCAAAACATTTCACATAAAAATGACGATAACTCGAAAATAACGCATTTCCGGACCTATGTTTATACCAACTTTTTTTTTTGTTTTTGGATCTTTAATCACCTCCCGAGCGATTGACCTCGACTTTTAAAACACCCTGTTTATTACACAAAAAGACACACATAACAATCGTCCAACGCATCGCGTAATTAAGAAGAATCTCGTCATTACGAGGCACAACAGCAGTGGCGTGCATGCATGTATCGTACACGCGTGATGTATCACGTTGCGCGCGTCACGGACAGTGGTCCCGCTCGCCGGTATTAATTCTGACAGCTTAGAAAAGAAGCGAGAATACAAAAGTGCGGAAAGAGAAAAACGGCTTTAACAAAGCAACTTAATTCAGGACCACGTCCGTTTTCCCTCTAGTCGCGCCTCCAATAACGCAGCCTGTCTCCACGTTTTGTTCCGCTCGTCGCATATAAAATGAGATGTATCCAGATTTCAGAGTTACAGAGAAGGAAAAAAGAAAAAGACAGAAGAATGTAGAAGATACGATCGAAACGAACGGATCTTTCTTCGATCGGATCCCCCTCGACAAATTTTTTAATCGCCTTGCAATCTCGTTGAACGAATGGCCACGAGAGACTCCAGAGAGACGGACAGGTGTCCGCGAGCGCAATTACATAAAGCGAGGTAAGAGGAACGCTACCGCGAGAGATCGCGGAGGTGAGAGAGGAGCAGAAAAAAGAGAGAGGGAGAGAGAGAGAGAGGGTAAAGCACGCACGCGGGGCACGGCGGGCGGGCCGCACGAACGTGAATGCATTCTTACGAATGCATTCACCCGTGCGAGGCGCGCGCGACCGTGTGCCGTTCACGTATGACGCGCGTCATTAGGTCCATTCGTCTCGGAGCACTTTCCTGTACTTTCTACAATTTCCAGTGAAGGAAAGAGGGGAAGAGAAGAGGAAAAGAAACGAGGCGTACGCGAGACGAAGATCTAATCGGAGCGTTCGTCCGGTATTCGTTTCAGCTGCCTTCTCCGGCGCTTCCTGCGTTTAGAGCGAAGTGAGCGCGTGGCTTCGCAGGTTTCAGAGAGAGAAAAGAGGAGAAGACGAGAGAAAACGGAAGAGCTGCAGATGAGAGAAAAAAAAGGCTTGTCGGATGCAGCTTTCTAGCCGTACGTAACGTAAATAATGCTACGCGGGAGGTGGCGGCTCTCTCTCTCTCTCACTCTTTCTCGTTCTCTCCTCCTCATGGTACTCCCGCATCGACGTGGCCAGGCACATGCACAATCCGAACGGAAACAATGGCACGCGATCTCGCGTTTTTTCCTCCCGATTCACATTCAAGATGCTCGATCGCACTCGCGTGAACGTTACTGTAGACCACAAAGCGATGCATCGACGTAAAGACGGATCATCATAAAGGAAAATCTCGAAAGATACTGGGTGTTTGTCATAGAGAGAGAGAGAGAGAGATGCAAAGTAAGCGATCCAAGAAGCAGAGAGAGAGAGAGAGAGATGCTTGTATGCATGGCGTGCGCTTTTCCTCCGTTTTCTCTCGCGGCTACGACGGAAAGAGACGGGATTACTACTCACGCTGCGTTCCTTGCACGATGATGCGTTCGCCAGCACACGTAACCGTCATGGTTCCGGAATTATTTTACTTTCGAATAAGGGAACGGAATAGATTAACGCATAAATTAAAAATTGGGAATAATTAATCCATTCCTCTGTTTGAAGTAAAATAATTCCAAATTGCTCTTCCTAATATTCAATATTTATTTCTATTCCTAATATTAATTTTTTCTATTGTGCGCAGGGCCTAAGAGCGATTAAATATACAGGGTGTTTACGAGATATTTGGACAAACTTGGGTTTTGAATCTGATTAATATAAGTAATATATTAATAATACAAATAATATGAAATACATCCAATCTGACGCTATTTTGGTTTTAAAACACGAGATTCTCTGCCCTGATTATAATCGATCAATTTTACTCGAAATATTTCGTATTGATTAATCTAATAATCCAAATATCTCTATAATAACTGAAGATTGATGAGTTTTATGACGGAGTCATTAATCGCTCTAGAGCGATCAAATTTGCTTCACTCGAAATAATATAGAATAGCGTATAGTTGCGTGCGAATATACTTGACTCTATATATATACTATATATATATATATATATATATATATACTAATCTCGTGTAGTTATTGCATGGTTATTTAGATTCCTTTGCAATGAAAGACGACACAAACACATACATATATTTCGTGAGTTTTCTTCCATTAGAATTAAACTCTGTTTCAAAAAGTCAAATGCCTTTGGCGTCATTAAATGTCTTGGAGTTGTTATTTTCAGTCAGCCTCGTGTCTGGATATTCGTGGAATTTTGCGTATTAAGACAATAATGACACCGAGTATACTTTACTTATCATTTATAAGAAAATTCTTTAACTACTCATTCCGAGAAATAATCATCTTAATTACATACATACAAAGAAGTAGTTTGAAACGGCGCACAATTCACGCCTAGAAAAGGATACTTCTAGACACGCAAAAAAAAATTTTTTTAATCTATTCATAAACAATAGCAGACGTGAATATTTTTTCCATAAATTATGTATCCCTGAATATAAAAAAAAAAAAAAAAAAAAAATAGATTTCATCAAAAATATCTAGTCTCATTATACAATATAAAAGATATGATTCTATTTCTAACGTTCTCTAATGTTAAAGCTGAACGAAATTGTAGTCGTCGAGGATCTTGTAACGGTCCTGCCGATAATGCACCAGGTCGTCCAGGAAGCGCATGCTGCTCTCGTTGTGGAGTTTCGTCAGGACGGACGGTAGCGGTACGACGCCCGCGATGTTCGCCAGGTCATCGTAATAGTGACCTTGCTCGGGGCCCATCATGTGAAAGTGTCTCTTCTGCAGGCCCCTCTCGGCGCGTCTCGCCACTTCCTCGGCCTCGGAGCGCAGCATATCCGCTCTCGCGGGAAACCGCCTCTCGCCGTGCCAATGTCGTAGGACGAATCGCACCTTGAAATTGCAAGTAATCGCATCGCCATTATGTTACCGCGGTAGTCACGCCGTAGTCGGCGACCACGCGACCGTGGCTTTCTAGCATTTTTCTGTCGCGAATGCGCGACCGCGTTTCTTCGTCAGTCACGCCGAAGAAGGCAATTTCATACGCCCCGAATGACCTGTGCGCTTGGAATGCTATTACCTCTCAAATGAATTACATGCCATTCTCGTGTGTTTCTTGTATGTCCGATATATTTTTAAATATCGATTAAAAATATTATAAAGCACATTTTTTATGATATCTAATGTATATAATATAATAGTAATTAGAGATAAAATTAAAAAGATATCACGACAGAAATGTTATATTTTAGATTAAGAAGAGATAAAGAGTATTTTATACCTGCAAGTCAAACATACTGAAGGCGCAGACATAGAACGGAAGACCCACCAGTGCCAGGGTCGGGTTTTCTATGGACACCAGATGCTTCCAAAGGGGTGTGACCATGTTGGAATCCGTCCGCACTCCGCAAGATTCGGCGAGGAAAGGAAAACTGTATTTATACCCTGTCGAAGAGGAAACATGTTGTACTTTAATCGTCTCGTTACACGAGAACGAGGTACAATGTTTCGTCAGGACTTATGTAATGAGGAAGATTGTACCTGTACAATAGAAGACGATATCGATCTGCTCCTTCGTATCGTCCGCAAAAACCGCCTCGTGCTCCGTCAGTTGCACCACATCAGCTTTCTAAAGATAACGCGGCCATTAAGAAAAGTATCTTCAAGTTTGTTTGATTTTACTATTTTCTCTCTGAGCTCGCGTGACGCTTTTACCTGTACGACATTCTTGGGGAACACGGTGAGTATGGTCTCGGTCAAGTGATGACTCAGAATTACGCGATTCGCGTTCTTGGATATTTCCAACGCCAAATCCATACCTGGTCGGAGGACAGAGAATTTTAATTGTCGCGAATAACTTCGTCGAAGGTATTTTTATCCCGTCATTCTATAGATAAAAATCAAATATTTGCGCGCGAATATATATAATCAAAATCATCAGAAAAAGAATATTTCTTCATGATTATTCTCACAATTCTATTAATAATTACACGAAACGCTAGAGAATTGCTAGAAAATTTGTGTTAAAAAAAATAAGCGGACTATTTGTATAATGTTTTATGTGTACCGGAAGGACCAGCTCCCAAAACGACGACAGTCTTGCCGTCGAAGATCTCGGGGACCCGGTAATCGTGGCTGTGCATCTGCTTGCCTGCAAAAACATCGTGACCAGATATCTTCGGGATCCTGGGCTCGAAATAATGACCGTTGCACACCATGATTGCGTCAAACGCCTCGGTCACGATCGCGTCCCTCTGCAAATCCCTGACCTTGACCGACCACTTCCGATCCCCTACGGCCGGTTCCACCAGTTCTACATGATGCAGCAGCTGCGACATAGAACATTTATAACAATATATATCAAAATTTGATTTGTGTCATTAATTTGCAAGCTTCGCGATCATTGCTTTTGATCGACAATTTTATTTGTGTCTTAATAATTTTTGCGTAAATTAATGTTTAATCGTAATTCGCATTAAATATAGATATATATGTAATTAATGCATAATTAATGCGATTTTATACACTCACCCGAATGTAAGGACGTAGCGCAAAGTGATCGCAATATGCGTTTAGAAAATCCAGTATCTCTGTGCGCGACAAGTAGCTCTCGGGTCTTTCCGATATCGGAAAATCCGGATAGCCCATTACTTCCTTCGGCAGATTAGTCCTAACATATAAGTGATAAAGCAATTTTCGTAAATCAAATCGAATAATCTCTGCAATATACTTAAACGTTTATATATAATATAAGTATGAATAATTTTTTATCTAAAATTTACTGTGTTATGGATAAGATTGATATTAAATCTCTATATAAGATTAAAATACTAATTATGATGGATTTATAGTTAAAATTCGTTTTCTGTGCAGGACTCAAAATTGTCTTGAAGGAAAACGAAAGTTGTGCCTGCGATGAAATGCATTCGTACCTGAGGCTATTGTACATGCTAGTGTGAATCGGTAAACCGTATCTATCGGAACCAGTTTCCTCTCGATAGACCCAAGTCCCGCCGATTTGATCCGTTTTCTCGTAGCATACTACTTGGTCGTTGTAAGTACCGGAAATGCATTGACGAAGCGCAGCGAGTCCTGCGGCTCCGGCACCGATCACAGCAATTTTCATGATCGTTGAAATTTCACAGAACGCGAGCAGAACTTTCAGCGAAAATGATCGATAATCTATTTCGTAATTAACGGAGCACGGTAATATTTATTTTATAATAGACGAGTCAAAACCTAACAACACATATTCAAAAAACATCTAGAGAACATTCAGGATATTTTAAATCTTCTGGATGTCCTCTGGAGGTCTTTTAAACGTGTATGTTGTTAGGGGTATCTTGGACCTGTCGCGTTTACTCATATCATTCTTGGCCAATCGGGAGGCAACTAAAATTAAATAATATGGAATATAATATCTTGTTTTTATTTTTATATCACAAAAAAATAGTCTCCATACTGGTTAAGAATGATAAAAGTTATCTGTTTATTTGCGATTTAGTTCGCGAGAAGCCGTTATCTTTAAATTATTTTAATTGGAATATGCTTTAGTTATTACTAATTGATCATGTGAAAATTGATACAATAGTAGTTTGAATGAGCTATATGTATATAGTTGCAAAAGAGATTACACTCATATATAATTACTATAATTTCCTGTTTGAAATTGGATGATCCAGAATAAACGATTCGTTCAGGTAACTTTTTTTCTGTCAAGATCGCAGCTCGGATTATTTTAGCTTCGCACAAACTCTGACTAGATTCACAATAAATTACGATAGATTCGATCGAAAGTCGAGCATTTATTCTCTCTTTATCCTAATATAAAAGCATATTCATATATATTTTATCAAATTTAAATCTATTACGCTTAAAACTTTTCACACTTGTTATAGAAGCTGATTACATTGGGTGTAATAACACATTGGATTTGCTAGAAATAGATGCTCTACATATATATAAGTAACATCACGTTCAATTAAATGTGATAAGACGAGATAGAGATAAGACGTCACAATGTTAATCAAATTTAAAATAACTTTCGATAAAATACAGTATAATTACACTTTACTCACACGAATGGGAAAACACAAAGTACTCGCACCAACGAAATCCAATGGAATGAGTAATGTATGTATCACAACTGAAGCAGAATATAAAATGACCGAATGGAGTTCGTTAAAGTGATCGTATTAAGGGAAGGAGAAATGCAAGGCTGATACCGATAACGAGGTCATCGTGCATTCCACGTGTTTACCAAATAAACGCAAAGTTTGACCTTCAACCTTTTTTTACACATCTGCTTTACTATCCTGGAGTGATTGTTGACACGACACTCTTTTACATTTAGTTTTAATTTAAAAAGATTGATATATCTAAAGGGAAAATATCAATAAAGCAACAATTGAAATTATATACACTATATGACAAGTATACTTAATTTTATGTACAGCAAAAAATGTGTATTAATATTTTATTATTTAAAATACAATTTATTTTATTATATAGATTATAAATATATACATTACAAAGGTGTACTTAACTTATAAAGATATTTCGTGAAATCTTCACGGATCGACAATAATTAGTTGAATAAATGTAAATAAGTTACATTGTGTCGTTTTTGTACAGAATTCTCTTACTGTTAAATAAAAATGTGTTTCGAGATGGAAGTTCTTTTTATGAATATGAAAGATTGCTCACCAACGCCCCTTTTTCTCCGATTCCCATTTATTCTTGTACAACATATACAACTGCATTGCCGCTCTCGCGTCTTCCACAGAACTGTGTTCGCCCACTTGTATCTCTCTACCTAACAATTCATGTGCAAGTTTCTTCAAACTGGGAGTATTTCCCTTTGATATTTGGCGAAAGGGTTTGTATTTCGAGGTGTCTCGCCAATATCTTCGCGGATGCGACAAGAACAATACGTTAAGATCGTGCTTCAACGCGTGACCCACGAGAATCCGACCCTTTAACATATCTGCTACTTCCTTCTGTACAATATTAAAATCTTCTCCATTTTGCAATTGTTCTGGTCGTATTCCACTGACTGCTGTTCTATAATCTACAACTTTCTCTCTCGGCTTAACATATTTGTCATATAAGCAAAAACCATGTTTATTTACAATCGATATCCGAGCTAACATGCTCTCCGTGCCATCACCAATTCCAACCATCTCGCAATCCATGGCAATATGTTTCGTCAAAGTTTTATTCTCTTTATTCTTGACATCATTGTATTCAGTGTTCTCCTCCAATCGATTCTGCAATTAATAAAAATGTCAACAAATATATTTACTAACTAACATATACATATATACATGCAATATATTAAATACTTACTGTATGTAGCAAAGTAACATGTACTTTTTTAGATTTTGAATGCCTATTCTGTGGGGCATGACCTTCCTCTATGTTTGGTTTGGAAAACAAGTTCTTGTACATCTCCCAATTAGATCCGGACGCTTTACGTTCGGTGTTTGAAGCAAGCTGTTTCGTCGTCTTGTTCTTCTTCTTAGTTCCCATACCAGTTGATACATTGTTCATTCTAAAAAGATGTTTCCTTTTTCTTATCACTGTATTTTTATTTTTTTCTAATGAACGTTATATAAATAGCTTATGATAGATTTATATATATAATATAAAGAGAATATTAAGTGTCCACATTTATTGTTTCTCTAACCTAATCTCTCTCACATATCTTATATTTTCTCCGATATTTTCAAATTTCATTTATATATATCTAGTAATGTATATATAAAAGCATATAAAAGAGAACGTTTTTAAAGAAAGCACAAAAACTAATACATACATAATATTGTTGTTCATAATTAATGGTGATAATCTTCAATATCTTCAGAAATCTTTATAGAATGTATATTATAAAAATGCGCGTATAAATATAAAAGTCACTTATATGTATATACAAAACACCGATCACAGGTGGCAAACCGATTCATACCTGATTAGCGACCAAATAATAATACACACGAAGATTACATGAAACATATTATTATACCATAGGTTTGTTCTTTGTAACTGAACTTTCTGCACTAGTGTACATTAAAAATGAGACAGATATATATCTGGAAGTTAGAGAGAAAGAGAGGAGAAACACAAAAAGTGCAGGAAGTTCAGTTACGAAGAATAAACTTCATATGTACCGAAAGATGTCGCGATGAATGTCGTTTGACAACAGCTTGCAGCGAAATCAAATGCGGCGCGTGCGACACGGTCGGTTGGTCATAAAATTTTAATTATTTTTTTTTAAACAATTCGCGATAAAGTATGAACGATGACTGCAACACAACTATCAAAGAAACGTTCCAGGAACCGCGGAAAAGGTTTTGGCTGGTGAGTCGGCATATTTTTCAACGTTTCGCGAAATGACGTCTTTCGCAGCTAATGTAACCGACATTCTAATGTCAAAATATCATTAATGTTAATGTATCTGCGTGAATTTCTCTTTTTTCAATTTCCCAGACTTTGCAATTGAAATTATGCTAACGTCACATACGTCGCAGCATTCACATTTATTCGAGCTACCATTGTTCAATTTGTATACTGATCGACAATAAAATTGTTTTTGTTGAAAATAATGTTAAAATATTATTTATGTATCGTATTGTGCAATAGAGATCAAGAAAACGACCAAAGAGCGATGCGATGAGCATTAGCTCGATGGACATATCCATGGAATCTGATATAGGAAAGAAGAAAAAACGCCGCAGGATTACAGAGGTTGCTAGCAGTATATTTTCTTCTTCCTTAGTAGGAACTAAGCTGGGGAATACTCTGCACAGATCTTTCACGACCCAACCAAACTCATCGGATTTATCAATTATTGAGGATGAAGTAGATACTGGAACATTACGTAGAAAGTAATTGTCTGACACTTAAATGTCTCGGTTTAGAAAGTAAATTTGTTTCTCAAAATGTATGCGCTAATTTCAGATTGAATAATGTTGCTGAGAGTTGCAACAACTTGACAATCAAGAGTTGGATGTTGGATGTTGCGCAGTCACATGGCAAAGAGCGCTTAAACAATATATTAAGTCGAAGTGAAATTAAAAGACAGGAGGCTATTTATGAATTGTACTGTGGTGAAAATGTGCTATTAAATGAGCTCTATGTACTAAAAAATTTCTATTACGAACCAATGTCGTCTACTGAAATTTTTACATCCGAAGAGTTATCCACCCTTTTTGGTGATCTCACAAATCTTATTGAGATACACAGTAACTTAAGGGATGAATTACTCAAACTCAGAGATAAATCTGGATTCACAAAGACTGTCGGTCCAACATTATTGAATTGGGTCAGTTTCTTTTTTACTAATGTTTTGTAAATATATATTATGTATATGATATTTTATAATTTCGTTATTTTCGCAGCTGTCTACGTTAAAGAAACCGTATCTGGAGAGATGCAGGACATTAGTTTGGGCGAGACATTTACTGGACGAGAAGAAATTTAGTAATAAAAGATTCCAATCATTTCTGAAAAAACGATTAGAGTTACCACATTCTGTCGACTTGTGGACTTATTTAGACGTGCCACGTTCAAGGATCGTCAAGTATCCATTATTGGTGAAGGAGATCTTAAAACATACTCCCACTAGTGACGCAGATTATTTGTTGCTGAAAGAAGCAAGTAATGTCCTTTCCGATATGCTAAAAGATATTGATTGGATCATGGGTGATGCCGAGTGCAAGGTCGCACAATCGAAAATAAATGCAAAGATCGAGTATGATCCTGACAAGTGCATCGTCAACGCCACAGAGTTAATCATTGAAGGTCAGCTTAAAGACGCACGTGGAATAGTAAGTTCTGTTTTACACTTTCTTATCGATATAACACAACAGATTCATTTAAATATGCTAACATTAATATTTTTGTAGAAATATTACTGCTTTCTTTTCGACACATGTTTCGCAATAACTCGTCCTACACGGCGTGTTAGCAAAAAGTACAATCTGTTCTTTCCCGTCGTACCTAAAGAACAAATATATGTACAAACGGACGATAAAAATAACGCGGAAATCGGATTTAAAGTCCGAGAACATTCTTTCATAATGGAAGATGAACATAAAAAACGGCATTGGATTGATGCATTCAACAAGTTGTACTCTAGAATGAGTATTCCGGACAAAGTGTTTAACACTGATGACAAGGAGAACTTGTTGAATAACACAGAATTATCAGAGTCGAATATTCGCGTTACACGGACATCAATGTCTAGGAGAACTTCCACAAGCAGTATAAACGATAATCATTTTTCCTTTTCTATAAGGAAAAGTTTGCTCAAGCAAAAGCGCAACAGTATCGGCTATATATAATGAAAGCTCATTTGCGAGCTTTTGTACTTTTGATAAGAAGCATATTCGTCAATATATTATACAAAAACGGTGACACATTTCTAATTAGTACAAAGAAAGTTAGGGCAACAAAAATTATTCTTATTCGTGTTGTAATTTTACTTTACAAAATTCTAGCATTTTAAGTTTAAAGGAATTTTTAGTAATTACTAAAAATTTTTTGAAACATGGCAGCACATTCCATAATATGTACAATAAATGTGGTGATATAAATTTAGAGAGATTTGATTTATAATTTTTGTACTTATATATATTGCAGTTGATCTTAGTTTTCAAGGAATTTAATCTACATTGATATTTTTCTTTCTACACTTGAATAATTAGAGAGAGTTCCATTAAAGAAGAATAGCTTACACATATGCGTAAAACATACATGCTAGATAAAGCATAGCCTAAATATAATTTAATATATACACATACACACAAATGTTATCAACTTCAAAATATAAGATATAAATCGGTTTTCCTATATTTATAATTATGCGTTTATTTTGTATTAGCATATATTTAAATGGTAAATGGAATTTATATATATATATATATATATATATATTTTGCAATAAATTCTAACAAAACGTGAAGTAGTTTTATTCATGTCAACAAGCATTTTATACTCATATATTGTAGAAAGAGAACAGATTTACGGTTTAGCGGGCTTCATTGAATTTCCATCGGGATAACGTTTCTTGAAGGCTTTGATAAGTTGTGGATCGATTAAATGAACACCGTCAACTTGATTACCTAAAGTGATCCAGTTGGGTTGCACATTGTGCGGCCGTCCGAACAATTCGATCTTTCTTGTGCCGGGACTCATGCGTTCGATAATGCCGTAAATCTCGTCGGGCTTGTGGCTAGTGGCGCGAACCTCGGCGACGATCACGTCGCTATCCAACCCTCGATTGATACGAGGATTGCCCTTCATGCCAACCAGACAATGTTCTTTGCCATGATTCAGCCAATGGCCCGTCCTACCGGTCCGTATTATTCTTTGCAGCTGATTGGTTTTTACCCAAATGATCTCGTCAACCCTCTCGTAGCCCCACAACTGTAAACATTCCCTTCCCAGTTCCATGGCTCTGCCAGTTACCCATAAAAACAAGAGTCCTTCATCCTGAAGCGCCGGAATTCCCAATTGTCTCATCTCGTCATCTGACATAGTTCCATAAGGTAATTCCATATGAATATCCCATGGTGGATCAGCCATGATTACAGCAAACTTGCCAAGAACTGTCATATCGAGGTAACGTAAGTCACATTGAATCCACTGTGGCGGATACAGAGTTAATTCACTGCCTACATTGCTGCTTGTACCGCTACCGTTCTTGTTATCTAAGTTCAACGTCTTGTTGGGCGCACTATTGTTTAGACTATCGGAGTCATTGGTTTCCTTTGGTTGAGCCGTGGGACCATCCACCTCATAGTGAACATATCTGCATGAAATAAAAAAGTGATAGAAAAACTTAGTTTTAAATTCTCTCTCCTGGTTTAAAATACAAAGATATTCAAAGAGATACATTGTGCGGTCTAGCTAATATCTAAGTTTATAAAATCTGTAGATTAATATATGTTGTATGAAATTTATTTGCGTGAGAAATAAACAGATTTAATCATATATGGATTTGATAGATTATAGTATTTCTTGGATTCTCACTTGCAGGTGTCCATGTGAAAGCAGGTATTCAGAAAACTACAGTCGCCTAAGGATTCGTCTGTGTGGCTCTGTATGATCTTCTTAAAGTGCAGTTTTTTGCACTTCTCTGCAAATCCCGGACCGCCGTTCAATTTTACACAGTCAACTCTTGTACCGTGCGGACAGAACTCCATGACTTGAGCGCCTCCCTGAGAGCGAAATCGTTCAGCCAGCGATTTCTCTTTCGAAGTCTGCTTTGACAATAAGTCCAAGATCTGTTCGCCGACCTTTTTACTCTCCTTCTCTCTGATAGTCGGCATCGAAATTAAGGACATGATGTCTTCGGTATTCTTTTTTTCTATCTTTGCTTGCTTTTCCGGAGGTACATGGTCGTTTGGATCGGACGCGGACGTTTCTACGCTTTCGGGATTCTCTGTGTCATCAGATTGGGATTGACACGACGATTGGGATTCTGTTACAGATAACACTGTATACCCGAACACTCCATTCTCTGTGACTTCTTTGATCCTAAAAATATGTATAATGTGTTCTTCATATTAAATAAATTACAAAATAGGATTATATATTGCATTAAACAATATAGTGTAAATTGTTACTAACTTGACTATATCTTGGGCAGCCAGTTTCTCTAGAATCTTGTGAATATCGGAGGAAGATACATCGGCATTGAGATTTTTTCGTAGCTGATCTATCAAGTCCGCAGACGTTATCGGTAGATTAGGCAGGCATTCATGTAAGATGCAAAGTACATCTCTCTCATATTCGCTGTGATCAGAGCGTGAAGATGCATTAGCATCTGCAACAGATTTATACATTAAAATCGCGAATAAATTCTTCTCTATGGAATTTATAATGTAATTGATATTTTTCAATACCAGGACACGCTGATTCCGTTGTCAAGGTGGATGAAACCGGCGTTGAAGTGAGCGTATATAATTCATGTCGTTCGCGTTTCCTCTTCTGTAACTTCTCGCGATAGCTGTTCCTCTTTATTTTGATTGCTTGTATCTCCTCAAATGCATCCGACATGGTTTACATAGATTGTACATAAAAACATACTTTAAATAATATGCGGACAAAGCAATTGTAACTTTGTCAATAAGATGGAATTGAAGGTTAAACGGAGTAGATTTGATTCTTCGGTTTTCCTAATTTCTTATCAATTAGATTATTATTATCAGTTAACGTAATATTATACAACTTGTTTTATAATTTTTTTAATGTTTCACATATGTTAACATTTATATTTAACTGTCATATTATGCTCTTACTTATGTGTATACATGCATATACATATATGCACAATACTAACAATACTAACCTAGCTTTATTTGACTTTTATGTATTTCGTAAAGCTAGATTAGCTTGTAGCACGTGCATAAGTAGCGTATTATGCGTGTACAATTTTTAACATAGCGACTATTTTTCATTCTTTATCACATAATCGATTTTTATTTGCTCATATCAAATCATATTTGTGTCTAATAGAATCCGAAAGCAAATTGCCCTGTATCCTGTATCCTAGTGTATTTAAGTCAATTTAAATTAACCTCAAAATGGAAGACACTAAATCATTTTTTCTATCAGTTACTCAACGTATTTTTAGTAACTGGACAGCTTTAAAGGTGAGCTCATGTAATCTTTGTAGTCTCATGTTAACGTTAAGAGGAGCAAACAATTTTTTTGTATCAAAAGCAATCTTTTTGTTTTAGTTGTGCCTTTTATGTGGTGCTTATTTTTATCTTCATTCTCTTATCAATTTTAAATATAAAATTCTTTGATTTTAAGAAGTTAATTTTTTAAAGAAGTGTAGTGCAGAAAGCAATTTTATTACTTTATTTATTTTAAGTATAAAAAATATATCGCACGATATAGCTAGGGAATAAGATTTTATAATCTTATACTAAAATTTTATCTATTTTTAGTTGGCGGTAGAACATGGTATGGGTTCAGTAGAAAAAGCAATAGAATTTTGTCCATATACAACGGAAGTGCTCTATATGAATGGTTAGTTGCTTTTACTATTTCTTATTACACAAGAGTGACATTATAAATTATATTTTATTGTACTTTTTTGTAGAGGGATTGACCAGTGATCAGATTGCTGCCGAATTAGAGGACTATATGGATGAACAACTTAACACAATACTGGAAGATAACAGCACTGTACAAGTAGCAGAGGAATTATTAAGGTTTTATCGATATTGCATAGAGGGCAATGAATCCACAGCAAAAACGGAACTTGAGAAATTACCACCGCTACAGCCTTGGCTTAACTGTGAACGACCTATTCGATCTACTCGTCCTTTGCCAGTACAACAGGATAGCAGCTCGGATGAAGATATGGATGTGGATAAAAATCAACAAGAAGACGATGGATGGACAGTAGTTACAAATAGGCGAAGCAGATAACTCCCAACTCTGTATAAAAGATATCTTTATTCAGCGCTTTTCTTCTTCATATGTATGTATGTATGTGTATATATATATATATATATATATGCATACATATATTACAACGTAACATGTGCGCACTCGTTCCACAACCATACGAATTCTAGCACTATAAAATAATCTAAAAAAATGTTTTACCTATGCAGCCTTCTGAAGCATTGTTAAATATCATTTAGTCTTCTATATCTGCAAAAAAAAAATAAAGATCTATTTTTGTTCTTAAAAAAAAAATAAAGTGTATTTAATAATATACTAATATTTTAAAGATATTACCTTTTTCGTGTTGGGACAGACGGACGGTAAAATAACCGTTTTGATATATATCTTGATTCTTTTTCATGCTAGCTTGCCTTCTTTCGCCGGGTCCCGCCAAACTCAATATCACTGGCAGAAATAGCAATCCGTGAAACAAACCAAACAGCACTACTGATGTGAATAGCTGAAACAGATACAAGATTATCATATTTCAGTTTATTTCACGACAATTGTATTTTTATTAATAGAGAGCACTATGATTTATACCCTGAAGAAAGTCATGAAAACGTAAGCTTGGCTGAAACCTAGCAAGACGAAGGCGAAGAATGTGCTCAGGCCACCATTCAACACTGCCGGTCCGATAACGTTGAGCGTTGTCAATGCTCGTTCTGTGAGATAAGAAATAATATTAGAGTTCTCAATCTCTCTAATGGACATTATTGAACATTATAAATCCTCTTTACAAAAAATATCAATCTTATTCAGTGTTAAAAAATTTAAATAATATCTACTTAGCAATAAATTTTTGATCACATAATCTTTAATTAACTTGAATGAAAATTTTTATTTTTTAATTAATTTATTTTAATTTAAATTGGTAAAAAAATCTTGTGGAATAAAAATATATTTTTATTCTCAATATACAGGGTGCGGCATTTATAGTGACGCGGGCATATTTTTCGGAAACGAAGTGAGATATCAAAAAATGTTTCAGACAAAAGTTGCATGGTTTCGATTATCGAAAACTAAATATTTTACGAGATATTTTATTTTTTATATCAAAATATGTCAGATTAAAATATAAAATAACTCAAAAAGTACTTAATGAAAGAATATTTTATTATAGTGTTTTGAAAAGCTCTCGCGGTAAGCTACAAGAATATGTAATAAAAAATGGGGTGTTCCATTTAAGAAAACATCGACCACATTGACCTCTCCTTGAAAAGACCACTTAAGGTCAAGTCCATATTTTTATCATGTGGCCCCCTCGAAACCATGCAACTTTTGTCTGAAACATTTTTTGATATCTCACTTCGTTTCCGAAAAATATGCCCGCGTCACTATAAATGCCGCACCCTGTATATACATTCCTAATGTGATTACTAGTGACCTTGTTTGCTGCCGCTCGAGCGTATGAATTCCAGTCCGATATGTGCGGCATAATCAACTGCCAATCCTGCACAAAGCAGGATCATAATAGTCGACGAGATTTCAACGGTCAATCCCAGGAAGTACATCGAACCCAAAAGGTCGATGAGTGTGAATAACACGCAACACATTACCCAAAACGACGTCAGTAAGTTTCTAAGTAGCACCAATGTTACTATTCCCACCGCCATTATCTCCAGGCTCAAGTTTCTAATTAATTCTTCACCGATGATCTGCGCAAATTGATTAATGAATGACATATTTGATTGATGAGATAAAAAATTTCATTTACCCTGTTCGACGCCCATGTTATGTAATCTAACGAGTAAATCGCGATGTGTTCAAATCCCTGAGTAAAGTTCACGCTTTTCACGGCATCTCTTAATGATTGCATAGCCTTTATTTGATCGAATGTCGTGCTTATGGGGATGTGTTGCACTGGAATCTGCGATGTCTGAAATCGTCATGCAATTTCCCGTGTGAGAAAAAAAATGTTTCGCACTTGCAGGCGTATAAAACGTATCGTCCTTTTTTTACGTACTGTGATGTTATAGTCATTGAATGGCAATTTGTTAAATTTCATATCCTGGATGTATGCTTGGCCCTTTACCGTAAACAGGAGATATTCCGTGAGAGTATTGTAATATTCATCTTTATCTTCAATATATTGTACTGATGAAAGATAATATGTTATATTAATAAACAGCATATTTATTATAAATTATAAGTATTGTATATACGCTATATTTTACTATGGCAAAATTTATAGTTCAATTTCTTCTCGCATGATTATATTCTTTCTTATCTTGTGATTTTGATAGTTAGATCGCATTTTACGTTATCGTTTCGCTATGCGTCAATTAAATTACCTTTGTCGGTAGTTTCCAACCATTCTTGGTACGCCATAAACCATGGATCGAGAGTGCGATTGTTGACGTACGGATTTTGTTTGAGAATGTCTACCAGCTGAAACAGCGCTTGACGATCCTCGTAATAGTTCACGCCCGTCAGATATATGTTGACATGTTTACCGTACTTGGGAAAATGTTCCTTCAATTTATTGTGAAACTGTATGGGATAAGATTCCTGATTCAGGTACGCGAGCGGATCAAAGTTCTGGCTCAACTGAAATATCGCCCATATGTTGAGGCACAACAAGGAAACGGTAACTAATAGGATGATCGTTTTCACGGACGTTTTCATCACGCAAGGTCCGACGTACTTCTCGAAGATGAGCCGCTGAAAGTTCCGTTTACTGCATTCGTTCGGTCGCCAATTGGGACACGGCTGGCAACAACAACCATCCCTTTTCACTGTCAATCGTCTCTCGTCGTACACTAGACAGCTGACGAAGAATGTGATCTCGTAGATGTAAAGAAACAATATACCCATCGCGGCAAACATGCAGAAGGACCTCAAGAACGGCATCACCGTCGTCATGCCGATAGCGAAGGCCACCATGTTGGTCAAAGATGTCACGGTAATGGACATACCTGCGAACGTGAGCAAAAGTATCAATTGAATTATATATGGGATATCCTATTTTAATTTTAATGATGGATTCTATTAGCGCATTTGAGCACATAAGCCCGTATAAGCTTCTCGTATTTTTAGTCTCTATACTATAGTTTCAAAGTATTTGGGCATATATTTTTAATTCGACAGACGATACGCATAACGCGTATTATTTCTGTCCTCTTTAATGCTGAGCTTGCCAAATATTCCATCGTACCTGATATTTGAATACACTTTGCGATACGGGTGGAAATGTCTGAGGATTTATCCGTCTCCGATATAGTCTCGAGGCTCTGCATGATGACGAACATGTCATCGACGCCGATGCCGAGCAACAGGAATGGCAGAATCGGGTGCACCGGTCCGTAGAAAAATCCCATGTAGTAACACACCCCGTAGGACGAAAGGAGAGCTTGACCGACTACGGAGATGCCCATGAAAGAAAGATATATCCGTTGTTGCAGCGCGTTGCACCGACCAATCATCACGATCACGTAGATCGTGATCAGCGACATGCCGCAGAACAACACGGTCATGTTGCTGTTGATCACTTGGTGCAGCATGTCCTGATAGCTGCGCAGCGTCACCGCGTAGATCTCCATGCCCGGCGGTAGGGTACGATTCCAATGTAATATCCTCTCGATGAACTCGATCTCCCATTCCGGTGAGTGCGGATTACTTTTCTTCAGCAACCAGTACATTAATGTCGCCTTCGCGCTCTTCACCTTCCCGTTTGCGTCGTATTCGACACCCGCCAGTAATGGCGCGATATCGGAGAGTATGTCTTTAGTATTCCTGCATAAAGTGAATTAATATATAAGAAATAAATAAAAAGATTGTGTTTGTGTATTCTTACGTTAACAATGTAGCGTATTTCATCAAAATAAAATTTACAAAAGTACGAAATGTATAATTGAATCGATATTAAAAGAATAATTGTACGAAAATAAGGACTTTTATTAGGATATGGAACATTATTTTCTCATGAAAATGTAAGAGGCTTTAATTTACAGTATACTATAAATTATATATTAAATTTTATCTCAAGGTTTTGAGCGATCCCAAGCGCATCAATTTCGTTATGTAAAGTTTCAGGAACTTACTTATTTTGTAAAGTCATGGTAACGTCATTCAGTATCTCTGTCTTCGTTAAATTATCAATCTTCTTTTTACCATCCTTCTGCCATAACTTCAAGAGCGATTTATGGATACAAGGCTCTTTTGTCATTGTACTATTTATAATAGGTAGATATTCTTCGGGAAACTCGGATTTATCCATAGTTTCCCATTTATCGTCTTCTTGGAACCATGTAAAATATCTGTAATATAATGCAAATATTTCAGTAAATGCATCCGAAATAATCTTAATACTTCCAGATATGTAAAAAAATACTTACCCAGCGCACACATCTTCCCAAGTGTTATTCTTTACGACTATGCTTTTCACATCTTTCTCGATGTCTCGAATCTACAATTAAGTAATCAACCATTATGATCAAAATATGATCGAAACAATATACATACTTTATAACGTGTCTTTATCAAGAATATCTATTCTAAAAAATATACTTAAATAAAGATTTAAAAAATACATACATGTATACAAACGAAAGGGTCATAAGCATCAATGTTAATTAGATTAACTATATATATTACATAAAAAATGATTTTGATGTAATACAGCTAATCTTATTTTAAAAAACATATATATAAAGAGACGATCCTTTAATGGCAAATAAGATTGCAAAGACTGTGCTTTGTTGCGAAAATTTTATAAACAAATATGACAATAATTGATTTAACTATGCGGAGAGAATTGTGCATTAATATGGAAAAGAACCTTCGTTGATACTCGTATAATTCATGATCGCCTATGTACCGATCGCAGCACTTCAGGCTCCAGCACGTTGGGGGCAACGATGATGATGCTTTCGTGCCTGAGATCGTCCCGAAAGTGCTCCTTTACCCAGGTAGCGTCCTTGCGAATTATAGAATCCATCGGTACGTAGAGTTCAAGTTCGTCAATCTCCTCCTTCCAAAGTAACAATCCCAAGCCACAAACGAGATTTAGACAAAGGGATATGATTAGCCAAAGCCATGGCTTTGTGGCTATACTAAATCCGATCCTGAAGAAGAGACACGAAAACAAAAATAACAAAAAAAAAATTAGAAGATAAAATTAAATAAAAAGCTAATTTAACCATATTAAACGTACGTAAAAATTAAATATATAAAAAAATGAGAGAATAAGTAAATAAATAAAAATTAATTCGATAAAGCATCCAGTTTGGCGCATTCGTCAAAAAGATTGAATGCAACGCCAGCCCCAGACAACTTATATTAAATTATATAAATTCGATCAGTGATCATATGATCGTGAGAGACAATGGTAATCGATAAGCTGAGGTCAAAGGCAATGATCTCTGAATCAAATAAGACAGAAACAAAAATACAATCGTCCCATTGTCAGGATTGATATATTAGCAATGTGCAATTCAATTATTGATATTTTATTATTTCTGCTAAAATACAACAATGTGCGTATTATATATGCGCCGTTTGTGTGTTCCTGGCTCATTAGTTTTTTTCAATAATTATAAAAAGACGAGTATATATTTTTATTAGTATATATTTTTAGTATATATATTTTATATACTTTAGTATATATAATTTATACGAGTATATATATATTTTTATTAGTAAAAATATATACATATATTTAGGTAAAAGTTGACTTATCATCATTAAATCTTACAAAGCACGGATACAAACCATGTATTTTATAGTTTTATTTTATCGTAAAGTAACGGCTATAAGAAATTCGTAAACATTGTACTTATCTTGAAATTTTTAGCAAAACAAAATGGTAATCCCAAAGCGTACTAACAATGACACAGTAACAAACAGATGTAAACAAAAGAAATATAAATACATATATAGGATATAACGAAAAGATGATGCAAATAAATACGAAAATTATGATATTTCAAGATCGCATATCTCAGGAACAAAAAGAGATCGTCACAAAATTCAAAGCGTTTATTACTTATTGTTAGGAATGTGCCTTCTATAATATATATCAAAAGAAAAATGGTCCAAGCTGTGTTAAGTTTTTGTCAACTTTTACCCATATTTATAATAATCGGTCAAAAATTCCAATTAAATTATGTCAAATTTATATATAGATATTGATAGATTTATATAGATATTATATTTTCATTAATTTTCGAAAAATATTTTTCAAATCTTTTAAAATTATAGACTTTAAAAAACTTTCAGAGACTTTGAAATCTGTTTCTAGTTATGTGGCTAATTACTAATTAGATGCATTCAAGATAATTTCAGGGTCTCACGCAAACAAATTTTCTCGGGATGAGACTTAACTTCTTTCTTACCAAGTCAGTTATCATTCAAGCCACTTAAACTATTAATAAATCGTTAAGTAGAGATGAAGAAAAACAATTTTTTGCACGAGAGTCAATAAAGTTGTTTAAATTGTTTTGCATTGCTTTATAAATGAGATCTTTGATGTTCTAAACACGCAACACAAAAAATAGAACTTCGCACAAGATCTCGAAGAGTTATGTAAGGTAATATACGTTGAAAATTAACAGTTTCAGTAATCCTACGCAGATGTGCCGCATAAATACAAAGAAAAAGATGAGATATTAATATAATGACGATATAAAAAGATAAAAACATAATATTAAAGAAGAATACTTGATAAGTATTTATGACAGATTACTAGAAAGTGGAATTATGTACATATTGAGGACAGTTGTTAAGACAATGATACTGCAGTACATCTTCATAAATACATTAATCTGATAAACATTTATTTACAAATTAGCTTTTGAAAAACAATGCAGAAACGATCTATATAGAAACTAATAAATCCTAAAATTCCATAAAATAATATTGTTTAGAAACATTTTTGTATGTATATAGAAATTGTTATTTGTATATTCTTATATAATCCCCCTGCCCATTTAATTACATTTCTTCTCACATTTAAAATTTTGTAATCATGTATATAATTTTTATGACACATGCACAATTTTAGAACTTTATTGCTCAATAATGTTTCTGTTAGGAATTCAAGAATTATAGTAATATATTATTATCAGATTTCGAAAAGTTAAGTTCTAAAGAAATGATTAAAGAATTTTCACGAGATTTTTCACAAAATAATTTATTTAATGGAACTTTATTTCCGTGAAATTTATTTGATTGGCAATGAAGAACGTGAATAATCAAGTGCAGCGATCTTGCTGTGACGTTGCGAAAATTGGCTGAAACCAACTTACTAACCTAGTAACAGTTAATATACGTAACTACCATCTATTTCTTTCATTTGAGACTGATTATCTCGATGACTCGAGAAAGAGACTTGTAATGTCATAATGTGGAAAAGCATTTGAGTCTTTGACAGTCGCACATAATCATAATATATTAGACATGATTTGCAAATTGAAATAATTTTTCTGGTGCTTTTTAAATATAATGATATAATGATATATTCAGATAAATAATAAAAAAGAGAGAGAAAGAATTATATCAAGTTATAATTATAAGATATTAACACAGTTATCACGCGCGATATTGTGTTATACATATATCAATATCGTCGTAATACAATATAATGAAACTTAATTGTGTAATCTAATTAAATTATATAATAATAAATAATAATAAATAAATTTATAAATATATATAAATAATATACATGATTTAATTATACAAGATCTCAAAAATATTTTGCAAACAAATACTTTTGCAGCCAATTCATTCTTTGTTTTTTAGATTTTCTCCAAATCACAGATTGATATTGATAAGAAATCGGGATTACACCTGGCCATTTTAAAGATCGATAACGCAGTAGATATATAACGCATCGTCGTAAATATTTATCAACATATTTGCATTTATTTACGATAATAGCGCGTATAATTTTATCGTATTATATATAATTATTTGGCAATTAGAGTATCTCTTTTTTTCTATTTTGCATATAAAATATTTATTTTATTGCGTTATTACACTTTTGATGCATATAAAATGCAAATTTACAAATTGTATACTGTATATCATCAGACAAAGTGCATTTAGAATATATAATTTCTTTTATATCATATATCATTTCGTAGTATTAAGTTGTTAAAGATCTATCAATTATTTCTTGCATCACATAATCATGTATAATATTGCATCGCACTATAGACAAGGTATAACGAATAATAATTAAAGAAATCTTCGTGGAACGAAAGTGAAACCTTTGACTTTATCAAGGTTCTTTTGTTTCTTCTCAAAGGTTCCATTAATCCAATTCAAATCTCGTCTATCTTATGGACTGTTTGCTCTCTGTTAATCTACTATAAATAAAGAAAGACGATACACGGAAACAGGAATGATACAGAAACAAGAAATGTATATGCATATGCAAATTAGTGTTTGTATTAAGTAAACTCGACGCTGATTATAATTAATTCTACACTGCATCAACACTGATTGATATCGATTAATTAAATGTCTTTTCTCGAAGAAAACACGATAAGAAAAATAATAGAATGCTTAGAGCACATAAATCATGCAAGATTTATAAAATTGTAGGTAGATAGATAGCCATTTCTCGTAGCGCATAATTTAAAAGATTTAAAAAATTTTCTTCTCTTTTCTCTGTGCGTATTATATAAAACACAAGGAACTCCATAATATAAAAAAGCTCTCTTATCCGGGACGATTTATCTGACTGGCGAGCCGTCATTTATCATTCATGAATTCTTCTACCGATCTGAAGAGTTGATCTATTTAGCAAAGTTTGCAATTTTCAACATTAGATATCTTTTTGTCTAATAAATTTTCAAATTATTATATAAATATTTTAACATAAAATTTACTTGAAATGATAAATGTACAAAGATTCTACTACTATTCTCTCTCTCTCTCTTTTTCTTCTCTTTGCTTCTACTGTATTTATACTTTCCTAGTATTCTAGTTTATTCTTTCTTCCTCTGAAACAAAGAAAGAGAGAACCTTGAATATATATTTATTTCATTCAACCTACAGATAACGTGCAAACGAGCAATCCACAGCACGCTGGTACATTCAACCCAGAATTCTTTTTAAGACTGCTCTTCTTAGTTCCGCTATACATCACAGTCTCTGAACTTTCGAAACGGAATAAATTATAGGCACATCGACAGTAGCACGCTCACAATCAGACATCGAAGGAGAGAAACGAAAGAGATTAAGGATCAAGAGCTAAATAGATCTCCTAAACTCGACGCTCTGTAAACAAACATGGAGAGCGATAAACAATACGTTCCTGCCTACGAACGATAGTTAGGAATCGAGCGATGGGGTGCGAGGAATCCTTTCCCAACCACGCTATTGCGGGCTTCCGGGGCGGAGACGGGAAAAGAGGGACACGACTATGCGTACTTCCGCACACTCACCGGTAAAATATTCGATCGGCGTTCAAGTGAAAGTCGAGCAGCAGCTCCTTGCAACGGCTCCACGTGACGATGGTCGTTCCACTCCGTTCGTTGTCAGCTGTGGCTGTAGCTGTCGTCGACCGGCTGCCGTCATCGCACGTCTCCATTTCGGCGATACTCGCTACCCGCGTCCGACTGTTGACTGGCGCTCTCGCGGTCGCTCTTTGTGTTGCCGACTGACTGACTGACTGACTGACTGGTTAACTCGCTCCCGAGCGAGCTAGAGCAGTAGCGTCGAATGTCGAATGAATCCGCCGGGGTTGGACGGCGGGATTATACGCCGTGCACGTGCATTACATTGACGTACGCAGCTGACAGTACATCGACGATCGTGACAGCGATATCTCTGTCGGTGTTTTGCGATTAATGATACCTTTTCGTCGGTATCTCATTTATATTCATAAGTTGTGTATAATGCGGTATTTTTTTAAATAGCCGTCCCACGCTTCTATAATTATTGCTAGCGATATATATTCTTCGTTGACTTGAGGTACTGTCGAAATCTATCTGTATATAGGAATCACAGGCTTACGTAATTCTCGGAAAGATGTCTTATTTGGACGCTCTCGTGTTTCCTTCGTCTGGTCATGAATATACTCGAACAGTTTCTGAAACAAACAGAAGGTTTCGATTTAGTTCTAATGACACAAACATACACACACATGTCACACCGCTGCACAGGGTCAAACACCAATACACATATATAAAGCTATTCTCCCTCTTGACAGCCGTCAGACTCCAAAAGTAACCGATGTCTAGTTCTCTATTGTCATTATTACTTAATAGCTGATTTACATGCAGACACAGTGGCTCATTTCGCGCTTAAGCGACATAAAATCCGAGAGAGTATTGTACTCAAAAACCATTATTTATGATCGTTACAAAAGTTGCTAGAGAAAATTATATATATTTCAAATAAAACGTAATAAATTTTTATAATAATTTCTTATACCTTATACTATAATATTTTTTTATAATTTTAATAAAGTACAACTATTGCTTGTATTATGGTGCTGAACGTCGAAAATCTAAATATCAGTGAGTTCAAGTTGTGTAATGACATATATATAATGGTGTATGTGCGATATAAATGCTTGCCGGATAGACGCAAATACATAGAACATGTGCACCGAGAGCTACTGTTGCTTCCGAATATACGAAGAGAATAGAGGAAGAGCTCTTGGTACAAGTGCACTGAATGAGAGTGCGTAAATGAGTAAGTAAAATGTTAATTAGGATCTTGGCACGAGGAAATCCGCACACGCGAAATAAAATGCAAATTCTCATTGTTCTAGATATTATATAATATCCTAGATAGCAAAAAGTCATTTCGATTTTCGTCAAGTTACGTCAAAATGACAACTTTTGCTACTTAGAATAATATAATAAAGACGAATAAAGAAAATATTTATAATTCTCTATTTACAATGGTTTTCTCTCGTTATCAGTAGAAAATATAAAATATGACAGTTGGAGCACAGACGAATCAAATATTTTTAAACTTAATCAAAATTTAATTAACAGTCACGATATTTCGTTTTTTTTTGCATTTTAATAAAATTCCGGCCTCATTTAAATTTTGAAAAGAATTTAATTTTTCTATTTTTTAAACTTATCTTATTTGAATGATCAAATTATAGATCACTTGTTATAATTGCTTTCGTTGGCTCGTTTTAAGCTACTTTAAAATAAAGTAAGTACGTTTAAATTTTTTCTGGCGTGCAGAATATAACTTTAATATTCCATTGCAAATGTTTAGTCTCAATTTAGTGCCAAAATATAGATAGTACCATATCTCGTTGAGTGCATATGCACTGAAAATAGGGTCAAATGTTATCTTCTACGAGAATTGTTTACGAAGATTATTACTTGTTATTAGAAATTTTTTGTCTGATTTCTTATTAAACGTACTCTGTATAATTGGGTTAAATAAATAGTTAACATATGCGAAAATAAAGACGCGCAATATCTGAACAAGTCAATTTTACAATAACAGATAAATATCGAGTTCAATTTGAATAAAAAGTTGCGTATTGCGCAATCGCTTAAACCATATATATACAGGATATTTATAAATTTTCTCTAGAGATTGTTGCCATATATACATATATGTGATATTACGCATATGTAGCGATTTAGAAATATAATTTAAAGAAATATCTTCTTTAAACGGATAAATCACTTTAAGCACAAATGAAACGTAAACGTCAGGTCTATTCGTTTTAGTTACATTCTCCACGTTTATAAAAAATTGAGTATATATATATATATCAAAGCAGAACTAAAATGAGCCAAAGAAAGCAGCTTAAAATGAGCGGACCTATCTGTAGCGGTGTAATTGATTCAACCGCCCGAAATAATCGTCTGCGGAAAGTTCGCGACCCTGTCGCCGTCCTCTCGTACATTCGCATGGTTAGATATGTCCGAAGCCACATGATGCTGTTGCATAACAACCTGATGCACTCGCGAACAGCTGTTTGCGTGCGAATGCACCGACGCATCCTCGGTTGCGCGCACCGTTGTAACGATGATTAATCATCTGTGGTACTTCCACACCGAGATTTCCTTTGGAAAGCTCTCACGCTTTCCCTTACAGGCCGATACTCAAGTCATATTTTTATGTAGCAGTATAATCCTATAAAATATAATTAATGATACAAATCTTATTGTTAGTTGAAAGATTGATTTCTATCTTGATTATAATTAATTTTATTCTCTCTCTGAGAAAATCTGATTCTAATTTGGAACTAATTTAAACTTATTATTTAAATTTAATATTTATATATAATTTTTAATTATATATAATTTGTAATTTATAATTTATAATTATATATAATTTATAATTTATAATTCAGTTAGAATGTCAGATTCATAATTATGATTATAATTAATTTTATTCTCCGAATGAGAGAATCTGATTCTAATTCGGAATTAATTTAAACTTATTATTTAAGTTTGATATTTATATATAATTTACGGTTATATAATTCAATTAGAATCTCAGATTTAATTTAATAATTTGCATAATTAGGACTAATTGTGTTTATGATAAGATGTTTGTGTATAATGATAAGGTGGATGGCAGAAAATGTGAAGTAACGCACGTGGATAGTTTATGTTATCGCGCGTTTGTGATTATAATTACAAATTACGTGACTATAATAAATATGAAATAATGTTATTTATTATCAAAATTTTCAACACGTTGCCCCTCCACAAAAATAAAATCTATAGTATTTATCGCATTAATTACAATTGTTGAAAGAGATTACCTCGGAATAATAATAAAGGCAGTATTCGTCCGAAAGATTGAACTCAGAGTCGAATGTAATTGTATTCGACATTAAAAAATGCAGTTAATGAGTTAATTCGCTCACAAAATCGGACAATCAAATTTTCATCTAACAATAAATGCATCATCGATGACGAATACGCGTCCATTTTTTCATTACGCTCATTACTTGATGCTTTGATGCCAACGAATGTCTTTTCGTGTGAAGTTAGGCGCATCTGGAATGTGGAATCTGGATTTTGGGTGAACGCGCGGTTTGAATCATAGATATGTAGTAAATCTAGACTAGCCACCTTAAGGCCGGGTCTACAATAGGTGTAGTAAGTCTTTTAGCGTTCTGCTCTAAGTTCTAAAATATGACATAATTTTTAGCTAAAGACACTGGTTAATAGCTTTAAATAGCTGCATACAGGCAGTTAAATAAAAAAAAAAAAAAAAAAAGGCACACTGCGCTGCCTGAAGTTCTAATTTCTAAGCTTTAAGCGAGCTGGCTAGATCCGAGCTCTTAAAGCTTACGACTTAAAACTTTTGACCGATATAATTCTAAAGGCTTACTACACCTATTGTAGACTCGGTTTAATCCTAAGCGGCGCGTGTGGCATAATTAGAATGTTGCTCACGAATGTATAAATAACTTACGTCCACGATCCCTCCTTTCTATTCTTATATACGAGATAATAGGCTACATTCTCGAAAGCTTTCTTTCTCTTTCTGAATTTTGATCACGCTACGCTTGATCGAAATTACAAGTATAGGTATCGCAGTCTATACTTACTGTGTTTATGGTTCTCAAACAATAAGTTGCATCAATTACCAACTGGCGTATAGGCAAATTCTCTATAGAAGCCTAAATAGCCACAAAGAAGAAGAAGAAGAAGAAGAAAGAAGAAGTTGCCACCAATTCTGGCGTTATCTCTGACGCATGCGCAGCAGATCTAGATATTCATGAGACTACTCAAGCAGAACAAAAAATCACAATAATATCAAAATGACATCATAATGACTATCAAAAGTCATTATGATGTCACTTCGATATCATTTTGATGTCATTTTGATGTCATCTTGATGTCATTTGATATTATTGTGATTTTCTGTTCTGCTTGGGTAGGAATCCCAGTCTGATATTTCGGCAATTTGTAAGTATCGAATAAAATATATGAAACGTAAAATTAAATAACAAAGAGTGTGTGCGGCTCGATATAAAAATATAACGAAATAAAATATAATAAAAATAAAATATAATTTTAAATATTTTAATCGGCAATCGTGCTGCGCACAAACATCGAGACAAAATACGCTACATTCGAATACCTCGTGGAATACACGCGCGCTGAAGTTTGCGCGGGAAGGCACTTCTAGAACACATCTCTTCTAGAACACATCTCTGGAGGCGATGTGCGCCGAATCGAGGCTAGACGATGAGCATCGCGCGATTAGCGAACGGTAATTTTAACGTTTTCTTCCTGCTGCCTTTGTGTCGAGTCGATTTTCAACTGCATCTCGGCCTGAATACGTAATCCATATTATATTAAATTGCACCCTTTCAGGGAATATAATATCACGTATCATTGCGAGAGCTGCCAGCCTCCGGGCGAGGGAAGAGGATGGAATTATGACTTCTTATCATAGCGCGCGCGACAGGTCGCTCTACGCAGATTGCTTATCTGGTGTATGGTACTTGCTACACGCGCGTGCGAGAAGAGGAACCGGAATGAGATTATCGTCCAACAAGAAAAACAAATGTCTTTATCCCTGATCCACGCACTTTGCAAGAAAGAAACGCTTTTATCTTCGGGTAAAGATCTTATTTAGCGATGCGTGCAATGTAATTATATAGAATTGCAACACTGCAACATAAAATGGAACACCCAAAAGTTTTGAAAAATTTAGATAAAAGTTTGAATAAAATATTTTTATTGCAGTGTTCTTAATGATAATATACATAGTATTTTCGAGTAATTTATTAAAAAGTGAAAAATATATTAAAAAGTATTAGCCGAATTAAGCTCCAGAAAAAAATATATGTCACTAAATCGTATTCTTCAATCGATTTAAAAAATTCTCTTTGATACATCTTTTTTTTGACATTTAAATTATTCTATATAACATGTTGCACTCATTCTCAGATTATAAGGCATGGTTTCTGTTTGAAATATTTCTGAATTCAGATATGGAAATATCCGAAGAGATATATTATCTCGATAAAATCTCAATTTAAAAGAATTTCTGTGAATCGTGGGATCAGCTTTATCCAAAACACTTGTAACACTTTGATATCGGCAATCTACGCGGATAATATACTATAGACTCCTATACTATAAACTCTATTTGGTTTGACCTCTGCATCGGTGATGGTAATTCACATCTGTCCCTGTTCGCGGCGTTTATGCAGGCTAAACAATTTGCCGGATCCACCTGGGCCTGTCGACTCTAGGAGGGGGGTCAAAAAGACGAATCAAGCTAGAGCTCCGCGCCCCTAAGTAGGTCTTTAGCCGTTCAAAGACCGTTATCTGGCTCGCGACCTTCGGCAAACAATTCGTCTGCGGTCGTTTGTCCTCGTGCAACAACGGCATCGCCGTTGCCCGGATCTCGCGACACACTGCGCTCATCCAGCTTCCCATACTATCAGAAGACGATATCGGTTACGTCGATTCGGAGGAGCGTGACCGCACAAATCAGCTTACACAATTTCCGGAAAGTTTACATAGTTCAATTGATGATTATCAGGCTTGAACTTCATTTTTATTCTACTGATATTGCACACAGAAAAATACATACTATATTTAAGTAAATATTACTTGTTTCAAGTATTTCAAAAGTTCATATATCCGCAAATCTATCATAAGCTCATCATAAGCATCAAATTTATTCAAAATGTATTCTGAATCCTAGGAAGTTTAATACTTCAATCAAGAATATTAAATTATCCAATTGAAAGAAATACACTAAATTTTACATTAAATTAACCACATCTAACTTTCCATTAATAAAATTTTATAATATTCTTCAAAAGAAAATAATTACTTTTTTTGAGTACATGATAACGAGTTTTTCTAAAATTTGTGACAAGTCTATTTTAAGACTATTATTAAGAAAATATTCTTAAAGATAACTGTTACTTAAAAAAAGAAAAATAAACTAAGTAATCATTTTTCTTAGCAATAGAATAATATTTTTCTGTATGTGCGCTAGCCTATTGCATTATGCTAATTTGTATCAGTAATAATTAAAAAGAATTTAATGCACCAGATATAATTAATCTTAATATTGTAGAAATACAAATCACTGGTTTAATTCTATTAAATTTCTAGATAAAATAGATTAAAATTTAATGATTAAAGGATTTAGTGCAAATAGTATAGTATAATCAATTTTGAAGTTGAGAAAATTCAATTTAGCAATCAATTTTTCTGAAGTATTTTCTGAATAAAAATCAATCAAACATTAACTGATTTTAGAAGATTAATAAATATTATTATTGAAATATTAAATTAATGGTATTCAACTTTTATGAACAATATTTTTCATTTTGTTATCTTCTATTTATCTATTCTTTTTTTCCCGAAGAAAGAGAGAGAGAAGGAGGAACTCTTATTATAAAAAAGAAAAAATGCGAATAGCCTTCACCTTTGCACATCATTTGCATACATATCTACAAGATTCAAAGATTCATCTCCCACGCGCGGATTCCTGCTCACTTTTCGCAATCCTCCTTTTCCGGAAATCCCGGCCAACCGGTCGCCCTTCGCCGGTTCCTTCGTTCCAGTGCAATATATATAACAGGTCCTCTCGCCTGTAACGAAACCGGCCGGGAAGTCGCCGGTTTCTTCGTTCAAGCGAATGTGACCAGGTAATTACGAGGTAAACCGGCGATGGCCGAAGGTGTCAAGGTAGGGAGTTCACTCCCGGAGCAGAGTGAATGCCTTTCCCAGTAGCTTCGTCTCGGCATTTCAGTGCTCCTGGTGCTGCACCGACCGATGGAACTCGTCGTCTCCTCGCGCGCGCGGTCGCGATCAGGAAACCTAAACATACAGAGATATCGGTAGATCCGCGGGATCAAGTTCAACGATCGCCGAGCTGATCGATTGCGTGATCGGTTAATCGCATCGTTGATCCGAGATCGCTAACGTGAGTAATACGTTCGCGAGGCGATTTATTGGCCTCTGTCAAAGGTCGAATATTAATTCAGAAACGTCAAAATAAATCGGATACACGCTTGCATCTAATTTATTACGCATTTCTGACCTTCGATATTCGATGTAATAATTGAGATGCTGGATACCATCCTGCTCTATCCTAACTAAAATGGTCGTCGAAGTGTAATCGAAGTTTAAAATCCGGTGCGCATATATTTTACGTGTAAAGTTCGTGAATTGGAATTTTATTAAAGAAATATTGGGGGGGACAGGATTAATACTTTGTAATTGTAATTCCGAATATTTGAATAATTCCGGAAAATATTTCGCGCTTGAACTAAGGTAACAGCGACATTATACTTCTAAATACAGTGCAAAAAATATATGCCAAATAAATATCTTTCCTAGCAATTAATCTAATCACGAAATTGTGAAATTTTCTGTCACTTTCTAGGATTAAATCAAAGATCATGAACAAAAAATTAATTTCTAATTTAGCAACATACAATGCAATAAAAAAGTGTAATGTAATCACAACAGCATTATGCGACTAATATTATGCTGTAACGCGCGCTGAACGATATATTGAAACTGTATTATATGTGAAAATCCTTTTAAGATGAAAAGATTCTTTTCAGATCTTTAAACGATATTAATCTTTTATAGTCGGAATAGTCCAATCTCTTTGGAAAACTATGCTTTACAATCGTAATTGCTCTTAAGCTATAATTGAAAATTTATTCAGCTCATTACTTTTTTTTCTGCTAACAATTTTCTTCTCGTTGAATTCAAGGAGATATGAATAAATTAAGATAATAAAGTAATAAATGATGATGTGAAGCTAAACAGATTTTAAAATTTAAAGATTCAATAGTATTTTTAGATATTTTTAGATATTTTTAGTATATCATATAATATATATATAATATGATATACTAAAAATATCTAAAAGATATATATAATATATA